TCATTGTCTCAGAATACGCTGTACATCTTGTACTTTCAGTCACTACTTGCTTGAGACCAAATCCATGCATTACACTGCGTAACCGTTCACTATCTTTACAATTTAGCCAATTTATATTGAAATCACCAACAATAAAATTGTCCACATTCGATTCAACCACGCTTTCAAGCCAAGTGTTCTCCAGAAACTCAAGGAAATTGGAATCACTGTCATTCGGGGAATGATACACTAAGCCATACATTCCTCTTTTAAAACCATTTTCAACTTTTAAAGCGAGAAACCAATTACGCTCGAAACAAATGTTGCTTACAACCCGGAAATGTATTGAATCATGACAATACATGATAACTCCTCCTGTATGCCTCGAGTCAGAATAACACACACATGTTGTGAAGTTCATAAGCTGATATTCAGCCATATCAATATCATCTGTTATATGTGTTTCGGTAATCATCAGAATTTTGGGTCTCAATGTGCTTGCAATAATTTCTAATTCGCAAAAATGAGCAGTCAGTCCACCAATGTTCAGGTAAATAACATTCGCACTACTTAATTGCTATTTTCCATAGTCTATAAACTGCTTAGAAACCTTCAAATTCCTTTTGTACACTGGGCAATCTGGACTCCAAGCAGCGTGATCAACATTTATATTTAATTTCCTCTCACTGTTCAAAGTAACACAATTAATTTTTTACCTGTACAATCATTTGATCGATGCCCATAAGCACAACATTTGTAGCAACGTAATACATTAACATTTTCCACAACGTTACATACTTCCCACTCTACATTCAGTTTACCCCGACGCATAATTTTTTGGAATGCTTCCGAGTCAATTTCACAGATCACCGATACTGCATTGAATTTTCTGCCAGGGACTCTGATCATTTTCACAATTTTAAAATGCTTTATTTCACCGATTTCATTTTGTTCCATCACGATTTCCTTTAAGTTTTCTTCTTCATATTCCTCATCCATCCCAATAATTTTGATTTTTGGTTTCTTTGGTTGTTCAATAAATATTTCATAATTTTCACCAAACTTGTCATTTGCCTGTGTGATCAATGCGTCGGCTTCATTCATCGATTTGCATTCCACTAGAATGGCACCATTCTTTGCGTTTCTCACACTTTTTATGCCAGCTGATGAATGATCAATTTTACTTCGCACTTCTTTCTTCGTGTCCTGATTCGTCTGTACAACTTTTGGTTTGATACGCACAGTATTTGCAATGTTTATTTTTTTTGGGCTTTTTCTATTTTCAACACTAGGCGCAGATGCGTTTTCTTCACTTGATAATTCTATCGATACTTCATCTGATTTGTCATCAGCTGGGGTAATCGCAATTTCAGGTTTTTTCAATACTCTGCCCGAACGAAGAACTGACTTAGTTGGGTCTTGTTTTTTTCCGCCAACAATTTCTGCAAAATTTGGTCCTTGTAAACTCAATCCACTATTCACAGAGCCATTGCTCTCCTTGGTTACATTAATGTTCTCAATACTTTTCTCGAGGGTTTTTACATTTTTTTGAATGTCACCAGTCAGGGCATCAACAATTTTTTTCTCAGTGTTTTTTAAATCTTTATTATTTTTACGCATAAACTCTTCCATCACATTTTTGCATTTTTGCCAGTCTTTTCCGCCAATTTTGCAACTATCTTCTCTTCGCTCTCAACAAACATAAACTCCATATGCTTCATAGCATCATCAAGCTTTTGCAACATCTCTACACATTTATTCATCACACTATTAATGCATGTTTGCCTTTTTCTGCAATCATGACAAACATACTTTATGGACACATTTTCTCGCAGTGCCGTTACACCAGCTGTTGTCAAATCAGAACATTTTGCGTGCACGATTTGACCGCATCCCCCAAAACAAAACACTCGGTCATTGGCTACATTTATAGCCTTTATACACACTTCGCATTGAACAGACATTCTCCAGTTTTGTTTTGATTACGGCAGAACGCTTGCGGGCTATTCTAGCCGCCAATTGTTTTACGCACTCCTTGGTTCTCACATACGATTGTGGGACGACCTCACTGAGTTGGGTTAATAACCGCACTTCACACTTGTATAGTCCTTAACGGCGGAGCGCATTCGGCCATCGGCCGGTGCGATGTTTTTTACTCTATTATTATATTAATAGTGATTCGATTAATCACTATTTAATACAAATTTTCTTCGATTTTTCACCGATCCACATCTATTAAACGATCAGATTAACTTTGTCCTTTCTAACGATACCAGATATACCGACAGGAAAAAAGTTTTTCACGGTTTAATTTGAATTGAATCTTAAGCGATAAAAAGCAACACCTCTCACTGTTTGTAATCTATAGACACATAGTCTATACATCAGGGAAGGATGGTGCAAAACGCATCGTTTAGGCAATATCGTCAATTGCTTGCATATGGACGCTAAAATCAAGGGGAAAGTAATTGAGTATGGTCCATTACAATGTTTTCTACGAAGATCGAGTGATTTTGAACTCCAAAACGATGATTTTTCATGATTTTCAAGGCATTTTTATATCGATTCCAAAATTATAGCGGAGTAAAACGCCTAATTCATAGTGCAATATGCACCACGACATTGGGGCAAGACGCACGACAACATTGTGGTAAAATGCACCGCTTGATAAAGACAAATCATGACCATCAAGTAGAGAATACAAAGACATGAGGTATTTCAAATGATTATTCCATTATTTTACATAAGAAATGAGGTAGCGTGTCAAGCGGCGCCGGTGGTGTAGTGGTAAGCGTGATTACCTCTCACCCCAGCAGGCCTGGGTTCAATCCCAGTCGGCGCCGCCGGGATGTTCTGAGCCATAACATCTCTGATCACGCCTTCCTTCGGAAGGGAAGTAAAGCCGTTGGTCCCCGGTTCATGAGTTTGATAGGTCGATAGGTAGGGTCCAGGTGTGGGAGCTGCCTTCCTGGCGTCGGTAGCATTGGTGCTCAGCACGGAAAACAAGATCGACGGAAAAACAAATCAAGGAAAAAAGAGGTATAGCGTGTTAAACTGCTAAATTTAAGCAACTGTGTCATGTTTTGCTAAAATACATTTTTTTTTTGAAGAAACAGTATGTCAATGTATGATTTCATGATAAGAAATTATTTGTTCAACCTCCAGATGAAAACAAGCACAATCCCAAACCCGGAAAAAGCATCTGAAAAAAGTTATAGTTGTTTTTTTTTCTAAAAGTGTGCATTTTACCCCAGGGGTAGATTATGGGATGTTCTCCCCTACTTGAAAGCTTCCAAACATCTTTCATGTAATTTTATCATTCGCAAACTTTTGAACTTCGCTTATGCTCATATTTTACGAATTCTCCAGAAAAATATTAACGTCACACCAACGTGGTGAGTTGCTCGAAATTCTGTTTTCCAAAAACAAAACTTTTGTTGCCGTACGCTCAAAAATGCTCATTTTTCCTAGCATACTGCAAAGGTAAGTGAGGCTGGATGAGCGTGACTGTTGGATACCAGCACTCAGCTGCTCAGCGCCATTGAATGAAACGAACCGAACGGAACGACAAAGTTTTTCAGTCCCTGATTGGCACCGCGCGCGCATTTTCTAGTGGAAGAAAAAGTGCTGAGATTTTTTTTAGTGAATGACTTGTGCCTTTTATTATTTGAAACTCCAAGCTGGCTGCAATTAGGTCGTCCCGCTCGTTCGTTCCCACTCGTCAGCTTGAAAATTACCATTATATTCGGTGTAATTTGACCCTTTCGGGGAACGTCCTTCACTCAGATGGATCTGCATTTCAATGGCTTTTACCAGGGAGTGAGTTAGTTTGGAGCGAAAGACCTGGTGTATGGCATTAGTTAATTAGTTTTTTTTTTGTGGCATAAAATAACATGCTGTGATAACAAGGAGTTCTAGGGGAAAATAGGACACCAGCTCAAATTTAATTTATAGGGAATGTGCCGATAGTGATCACCATTTTAAGAAATAAAGATAGGAAAGTCACACATTTCAACGTTTCCGAATTGAGGGGAAAGAATTACACTGAAATAATAATGCTATCGAACGCAAATGGCGTTCATTACCCATTCGTTTATGGCTACACCGGATGCCGGATGACGAAGTAGATATGCCGCCTGTGACTGAAATTTTAACGTCACCGATAGTACCTTCCAGTAAGAAAACATTTTCTGCTTCCGACACATGTTTTTATACATGCATGCTTCCTTCCTGTTGAAAGAGCCGGCGGAAAATGCTCCTAGCCATTTTCGTACAAGTAAGTGCCCTCTGTGCAGCATCAGAGGGAGATGGCACGGCGAATGAATGTCCTCCGTAATTACAATCAAAAGCGACATATTTTTGCACTTTTATCTGATTTTACGCTTATGATATATTTGAGTAAGCACTTTTCGCGTGCTGCTCTCATCGTCGGAAATGTCAGCGTGGCGTGGCGTGGCGTGGCGTAGCGTGGGTAGAAAGACTTTTCAAAGTCCTTATACTTTGAGGCGTTATTTATTCCTTTGACCCTGGGGAGTCCTTCGAACGCGAGCAAAAGGGTAAATGAATTGTGTTAGGTTTATCGCGATCAACGGAACTGAAGGTGAAGATAGGAGCAAGAATTGCTTGCTCTACAGTTTCGTTAAGGCAGCAGTAGTGATAATTTTCCACAATTTTCAATTAATTTCGTTTCCAGCAATTGTAAGTTTTGGACGATGTGTTTTTTTTTATTTTAAGGAAAAGAACAAACACGCAGATTTTGAATTGTTTTAACATTTTCGAGTGCTTAAAATTTTGAAGTTGTAAATTTTTAACTCTATTTTATGCGTATTGTTTATATTTATGTAAGTTTGGAGTGTTTAAATTATAATTCGGAATGACTCATTGTTTTCGACGGTATTCCAAATTGAACCAAGTATATTTTCTTTACAAAAAAAAAAAAAAAAAAATCAACAAAAACGTGTTACAAAGGCAAAAACACACCTTCTAAATCACTGTTTTGATCGGTTCAATTGATTCAACAGGAAATTGGCTTGCTAGAAGAGTATAAACGTCCTGGAAATCGAGATACCGACAGTCCTCAACTGCAAGTAAGTTGGTTTTTCGAATCAAGCTTGACTTTTGGTTGACAGTTCGATACTTTTTTGTTTCACGTGTGACATTTTTAAATCAATAATTTATTACAATTCTTTCACCATTTTTTCATTTAAAAGTGTGAATTTTGATTGTGCGAATGGAATTTTCTATATCTGTTGCATAGATAATGCAAATTGTTTGCTTGTACAATAAATTCTAGTGACATTTTCCAGAAAGATCATAGCAGTTTTCCCAGTTTAATAGTTTAAATGTTCGTCCCGAGCGTTGGTTAGTGGGTACTGACTTGTTCATCTAATAAAAATGATCGATGATCGTGAACCGATTTTCTTCAAACTATCGCATCATGAGAAGTAGTGATCTCTCATCAAGGGTATCGGTCTTTTGATGAATTTAAATAAAAGTGAAATTGAAACATAAATATATTAATTAAATATAGTGTTTAAAAACAAAGGGACAGGGTTGAAAAGCTCCTGAGAGCGTTCGCATAGCATCGCACGCATCGCACAACACACGACAAAGAGTGTTCGCTTCTTCCATTTACTATGCAAACTCTTCTATAACTTCTCTGGGAGAAATCAATCCTCACTTAGGGTTTTTTTCGATCTAATTTCCGCCTTAATATCTTTACGCTTTACCTCTCTTTTTTGAACGGGTTTGAACAAAAAATGAAATATTTCAATCAAAGATTTATTTACCTTTCCAAACGTATCGTTGGATTTGATAAAGAGTCACAAATTGTTGAGATATTGTTTAGAATCCAATACTGCTTCTTGATTCTAAATTCGTCCTACGAAACGCCATTAGATTTTCTTCGTCCTACGCAGTGTAGGCAAAATCATCAATCAAATGATATTTTTCCACTCTCATACGGTCTCAATATCACGCGTGATATTGGAACAAAATATCATGCTTGATATTGATTTTACAAGCTCCTTTGATATTGCGAGACTATTCACAACGTGAAAAAATCAAGCGGAGAGTTGACGAGACACAAACATGATTCCGTTGCACATCGTTTTCTTAGAAAGAGAAAGTATAGTTTGCTATCTCCTTTGACTGTTCACCGATGGCAGACACGAAGTGACTGCTGCCAGCCGTTATTGAAGTTTCGGTTGCGTTCGGGTGTAAAGCAAAAACCATGAAACTCAATCTCACCACAGTTTGTTGAGATTTGCAGCTGGTGAGTTCCGAGCTGCGCTATCACAGCTTGCAAAATCAACCGCAGCTGTATGCTTGTTTTTTGTTGTCTACGAAAATCAAGTGTGATCCTGGGCATTGGTAAAATTTGATTTTTTGATTCGCTAGGAGCGCTTCTTTTGTTTTGAGAACAATGAGCGTAAATATTCATATAATGCGCTCTAATAGGATTTATGTTGTAGCTAATGAACTAACGCATTCGAACAAACTTATATTTTTATTTTTGCATAGTGAAATCATTGATATTATTGATGTTTTCTGATCGATAGAACGGAAATGGGCAATTACGGTGAAGTAGTGCTCTACCCTAGAGCGATGGAAAAAATCGTGCTCTGTACGTCAATGGAATACTATAGGGTATTCTTATTTGCAATCACAGTTTGGGCGAACCCTTAAAGTGTGGGCGATAGCTTCACACTGCGTATTCGCTATTTTTCAATATGTGTATTTCTTTTCTTCTTTGCTGCTTTGTACTTATGCAGACTTACACACAGAGAAAGGCTAATTAAGTTTGTTTATGACTGTTTTTACTTTGAGGATTTAATAAAACCAACAAAGCCAGAGATGACATGCCAACATATATATTTATTTTGGATTGCAGACTTTATTAAACCTGCACATATTTTACGGATTTCCACATTTACAAACTATTTATAGTTATGATTTATCCTGGCGTCTTAGTGGAATACCTGTATAAAGAGAGAGAGAAAGATTAGTAATTTCCATTCGTCAGTCGAGTATTAGTACAAGACACATAAGAAGTCAGCACATTGTAGACGAAATATGCGTATCTGTCAAGGATAAGCAAATAAGGTATTGGAATTAAATGGAAATTACTAATCCTTCTCTCTCTCTTTATATAGGGGAAATGGATGTAATGTCGGCCCGAATTCCCCTAATTTGGGCCCATACATAAATTCAGCAATCGACTCAATTTTCAATAGCGTTCAAAAATTTCAATTAGTACCGTCCCAATGACGCGTTCATCTAGATATAATGGATAAATAGCAGATTTTTAGCGATGGGCCCAATCTTAGATCCATAGGCCAATATTTGAGCCATTTCCCCTAGTTATGATTTATTTGTTATTGTAAAGCATGAAAAAAAAATTCCCCACAATTAACTGATTTCTACGTTTCTTCAATGATGATTTTTAACTTTTTGATTTACTGAGATTTCAAAGCAGTGCTAATCTCAAAGCTGTGTGCTTCGAGGGTAGGAGTCTCTTCTCTACGGAGTATTTTTGTCATCACAATTTATTGCCTTAGGAATGAGGAAAATATCCCTTTTAAAATAATCAAACTAGATTCTTTTTCTTTTAATAAGATGGCTTTGGTAGGAACTAGGTAGGCGAAAAATTAGCATTAAACATGTCTATACGATTCAGGATTTGCCGTGCAATGTGCATTATTCAAACATAGAAAATATGAACTTGTCATATTATAATTCATATCCTATACAACCCGAGGGCAACCTGACAACTCCAGTATATTGCCTGTGTACCCCGACAATTTGGTGCTGGTGGTTCTGTCAAATTCACAAGTTTCAAAAGGGTTATCTGAATAGGGCGAATGCGGAATTGATGTACAATAAATAAAATCCAAGCTTAATATTCCAACGTCAAAACTAACATTAGTGACTAACATTAAGCCTAACAAATGAGAATTAAGCGAGGATAATATCGGTGATTTCGACGCTATTGCTATTATCGTCGATGATAAACAAAAAAAGAATGGTTTTGCAGCGAGTAAGAACGTACTTATCACAGTATCCTCCCGCTAATCCGACAAATTTGATAATCTGACTGTTAAGTCCAAACAAATCAATGTTACCAATGTAAAAAAGCTTCATAAGAGACCGTGATGTCGGACTAAGGAGAGCCGGAGTGGGGAGATACCAACTGGTGGAAACTAACGATTTTAAATTGGCTCACTACTTGACAAGCCTATTGGTCCCAAGCAAATCGATTGACGTACCCAATTTTAGTCGAAATTCTAGTACTACACAGAGTTTGTTTTGATTCGCTATTAAAGTTTGATAGATAAAATGAGGTGTTCGTGGATTTTCCTGTGTTTTGAGGAGTGTATCGATTAGCTTGGGACCGAGGATAGTACCAGAGCTGAGCCAAAAAGTTGAGCACGTTTCTTCGGGATCTACTAGTCTTAGAGTTACCTCTATGGAGATACTGTATACGAAGCTAGTACTGCAAAATGTATAATTTGAGGTACTAGCTTAAAAGAGTACAGTGGTGAACTTTGGCCTTCAAAAGACGAGGCCTTAAATGCAATATAGCATGCAATTTGACTAATTTTCAATTTCAGCAGCTTACTTTACTTACCCCGTAAGAAAAACACGGGAAAGTATTTTTTTTTATTAATGGGCCCAGGACAAGCCTTCATTGCACAACTATGCTCAAAGCCATAATCTGAAGGATAATTAAATACAACAGCAAAAAATAACTGAAGTAGCCAAAATATTTTTATTGCCATTCGATGATATAAGAAGATTAAACTCGGTTCAATTTGTATGGAATTATTTCATTTCACGATGAAAATCATAAATTAGCTCTTTTCATATGGCATTCTTGTCTGTTGTTTGGCATCCACACATGGTGAAACAAAAATATGGTTTTCCATAGAGAAGTACCGTTGTGGCGGTGAAGGACAATCCCTTTGTTTACATCGTGTGCGACATCTACTATTTGCAAGTGGGTACGGTTATCTGTCACCTTGCCGGGGCCTTGATCCTATCAGAAGTTTAATTGAAACATTACCAATATAAGGTTTAATTGATAGCAGCTGATATATGGTTTGGAAGTTATTAATATTTTTGACATTCATTAGAATTAAATTATTTTTTTTTTCTACATCCTAAAATATTTACAAACAGAATGCATCAACCAATCAAAACTTAAATTTGCATTACTTAATATTGAAAACAACGAGAATGTAAAAAACTGAAAAAAACGAACATGACTGTTTGCGTTATATGCTATGAAAATTTCCCATAATTAAATAAGACAGCTACACAATTGTACCTTTGGAACGCTAAAATTTAAGAAAGCAAAATTAGTGAAGTTCTGTATCCGGATGTTTAGTTACCCAGGTTTATAAGACTATACGAGTTTTTTCATCTGTTTAGAGAAGCGTAGTGATGAGCAAGCAAAAATGTTAAATACTTCTAAACTTCCGTCAGAACACGACACGATTTTCATATGACCACACATAAACAGAATCCACTCAGAAGTACACATGAACTGTATGTGTCAAATGAATAGTTTGTGTGGAGAACCACTACTCCGGGGTTTTCCCTTTATAAAATGTGCTCATTTTCCATTTCAGTGCCAACATTTCAAAGGGCATAATTGCTTTTGTAAGCAATGACTTTAGCCGTCAATTTCTCGCGAATGAAATCTCACCCCTCCAAAATAACAATGCTAGCTGCTAGAGGAAACATTTATCTACCTGTTGGTGTCATTATGTTTCATGAGTGAGCTTTAATTCGCGAGAAATCGACGGCTAAAGCCTTTGTTTACAAATGCAATTACGCCCCTTTAAATGTTGGCACTGATTTAATTCCAAAAATTGGTCGAATTAAACTTGACGCATTTTTTTCAATCAAGCATTTCAAAAAATCTGAAAACCCTTTATTTTGTAGGTGTGTGCGTGCAAAATGTTGCCTCAATTTAGATTTTGAGATTTGCCCATTAGTTATCAAAATGGCATCCAAGCAAGAGGAACAAGGCATCATAATTTTGAACGCGCATCGTGAAAATCCGACACACTCACACGCCGAG